AAACTTGGATATACATAAAAATAGCAGGAGGTTCTAGTTAATGTGATGGCCTCGTCTTTGCGCACACTACTTCCTTTTAGAAAGGCAGTGGCTATATTCCATATGGGCTAATTTGTCCATATAGATGTATTAACTTTAAAAACATTTTTCACTTTAAAAACATTTTTATTGTGGTAAAATATAAATAACATAAAATTCACCATTTTAACCATTTTAAATGTACAATTCAGTGTCATTAATTACTTTTACAATGTCATGCAACCATCACCACTATTTATTTCCACAACTTCATCATTTTATTTATTTTTTTATTTTTTTAAAGATTTTATTTATTCATTTGAGAGAGAATGAGATAGAGAGCATGAGAGGGGGGAGGGTCAGAGGGAGAAGCAGACTCCCTGCCAAGCAGGGAGCCCGATGCGGGACTCGATCCCGGGACTCCAGGATCATGACCTGAGCCGAAGGCAGTCGCTTAACCAACTGAGCCACCCAGGCGCCCCACAACTTCATCATTTTAAACAGAAATTCTGTATCCTTTAAGCAATAACTCTTTGCTCCTCTCCTTAGCCCCTGGTAACTTATCTACTTTCTGTCTCTGAATATGCCTGTTTTCAATATTTCATTTAAGTGGAATCACAAAATTTTCCTTTTGTGTCTGGCGTATCTCACTTAGCGTAATACTTTCAAGGCTCATCCATGTTATAGTGTGTATCAGAATTTCCTTTCTTTCTATGGCTGTATAATATTCCATTGTATTTGTATACCACATTTTGTTTCTCCATTCTTCTGATGGGCGCTTGGTTGTGTCTACCTTTTGACTTTGTGAATAATTCTGCAAAGAACATTGGTGTACAAGTATCTGTTTCCGTCCCTGTTTTAATTCTTTTGGGTATATACCTGGGAGTGGAATTGATGGATTATATGGTAATTCTGTTTAGTTTTTTTGAGGAACCACCATACTTCACAGTGGCTGGACTATCTTTCATTCCCATCAACAGTATACAAGGGTTCCAGTTTTTCCACATTCTCGCCAATGCTTATTATTTTCCTTTTTTTTTTTTTTAAATTATAGCCATCCTAATAAATGTGAAGCGGCAATTCTTGTGGTTTTGATTTACATTTCCCTGATAACTAATAATGTTGAGCATCTTTTCATGTGTTTAATGTCAATTTCTACATCTTCGAAGAAGTATCTACTCAAGTCTTTTGTCCATTCAAAAAAAATTTTTTGTCCTTTTGTTGTTGTAGGCATTCTTTTATGTCTTGTGGATATTAAACCCTTATCTGTATATGATTTATAAAGATTCTCTCCCATTTTGACGTTTAACTTGCTTGATAATGTCCTTTGATGCCCAGAAGTTTTAATTTTGATGAAGTCCACAATTTGTTTTTTCTTTTGGTGTCATTCATATCTAGGAATCCTTGCCAAACCCAACATCATAGAGATAAACCCCTCTGTTTTCTTCTAAGGGTTGTATGGTTTTACCTCTTTTTAGGTTTGTTGGTCTGTCTTGAGTTAGTTTTTGTATGTGGTGTGAAGTAGGGGTCCAACTTCATTCTTTTGCATGTGGCAGTTCACTTGTCCTAGCATTTGTTGAAGAGACTATACTTTCTCCCATTGGATGGACTTGGCACCCCTTTTTAAAAATCAGTTGGCGGGTGCCTGGGTGGCTCAGTTGGTTAAGCGACTGCCTTCGGCTCAGGTCATGATCCTGGAGTCCCGGGATCGAGTCCCGCATCGGGCTCCCTGCT